GGGTAAAACCCGGTTGCTGTGCTGCCCTTACCCCTTCCCCATCCTCCCCACCTCCCCTTTCCCGCCCTTCCTCGGTTTCTAACGCCTCCCCCCTTTTAAAATCTAATTCGTCTGTAGATTTCTTTTTGGGGGGGCCCATCTCCCTTTCGAAGGGCGCAGCGGGTGCGGCGGGCGCCCCTTACCCCGCGTCACGCACGCATCTTCTGCACCCCAACAGCTCCGGGCCCCGCTGCACCCCCGCAACCGCCTTCGCCTTGGAGAAGACTTTCCTCAGGGGCCCCTGAGCCGCTGCACCCCGCTTTTTTCCTACCCCGCCCCCCCGGGCCCTAACTGCTCCCTCGCAGCTCCCCAGCTCGCGCCGCGAGCCCTACCCGACCTCGGCGCTTTCTGCATCTCGGCCTTGCATTCGCTCTCGGCTCCCAGGCCCCTTCTGCTGAAAATTCGTTCATCCTACGTGGCCCCACCTTAGGGGACCCAGATTTGTGTCCTTTGGGGATCTTCCAGCAAAACCAGATCTCTCTCCTAACTTCCCTTGGTTACTCCCCTCCCCCTCCTTTTAGGAACTTCCTCTAGCAAAAAAATTATTATTGGGTTCTCAGATGTTTCCTCCATTCAGGATCGCTTTCCAGCAAAAATCCTTTCTTCCCATCAAGAGTCCCCTTTCTGGAGTTATCTTTTCATTGAGAACACACCAACTCAGAGCTTCCGTTTTCCCTCTCATCTGATACTTATTTTCCCAACCCTCCTTCCCAACTCCAACTGGCTTCTCCCAGCAAAACCCTCCAGTTCCCTCCAGGGAGGGGGCAGTGAAAATAAGGAAAGAAAGAGAGAAAAAAAATAATAACTTTCCCTTAACAACAAAACTACTTTGCCACCTAGATCACCCCAGTTTAGTATTGCTTTCTTCCTTCTCAAAGGTGCCCATTTCCCCCAATTTCACGCCTGTGTCTCTGCTGCTTTGGGGACCCGCCATCTGACGGCCCCTTCCTCTCCACCCCACCACCTGCTTTCAGGGTGAAAGAAGTCGGCCGAGTGCCCCGTATTTACCACCCAGTGTTCCAGGAGGAAATAGCCAATGGTCTGACTGTCACCTGGACTCCCCTCCCTGTGGGGCCTCGCCTGGGCCCTCCTGAGCCCTGGAGATTTCACTCCTCTCTGGGTGAGTTTCCCCCCTTTGCATGTGTCCAGAGACACCTCCTTTCTCAGATGGATCCCTTTCTGTCTCAGAAGGATTTCCAAACCACCCCAGAGACTCTCAGTACCAGTGGGGACACTATTGCAAGTTGCCGCTTTGGGAAGTCACCTGGGAGAAGGGTTATTTATCCTGCATGCTGACTCTGGAACAATGCAGACACTTATTAGATCGGTGTTGGCTTCATTGTTTATTGCAAAGCAACTTAGATTCCTACAGGGGATAGGCAGCCAAAGACCCGGAGTGTGGCGAACCAAAGATCACCTGCCCCAGCCAGGTGACGCCAGCCAGTGGAAATGGCTGTGTGGACATGCCAGGACAGTGTTGCTAGAACTTAATTTTTTTTTTTTTAGAAGAGACCAGAACACTGTCTTTATGTGAAACCTTTTGATCTTTATTTTATTTTATTTTAATATATTTTTATTGATTTTTTATGGAGAGGAAGGGAGAGGGATAGTTAGAAACATCGATGACAGAGAAACATTGATAGCTGCCTCCTGCACGCCCCCTACTGGGGATGCGCCTGCAACCAAGGTAGGGCGTGCCCTTGACCGGAATCGAACTTGGGACCCTTCAGTCTGCAGGCCACCGCTCTATCCACTGAGCCAAACCGGTTAGGGCGATCTTTATTTTTTTTAAAAAATATATTTTTATTGAATTCAGAGAGGGAGGGAGAGAGAGAGACACATCAATGATGAGAGAGAATCATTGATCAGCTGCTCCTGCAGGCCCCCCTCCTGGGGATCAAGGCTGCAACCCGGGCATGTGCCCTTGACCGGAATCAAACCTGGGACCCTTCAGTCTGCAGGCAGACACTCTATCTACTCAGCCAAACTAAATAGGGCAACTTTATTTTTTAATATATATTTTATTGATCTTTTACAGAGAGGAAGGGATAGGGACAGAGAGTTAGAAACATCGATGAGAGAGAAACATCGATCAGCCACCTCCTGCACACTCCCTACTGGGGATGTGCCCGCAACCAAGTTACATGCCCTTGACCGGAATCGAACCTGGGACTCTTGAGTCTGCAGGCCGACGCTCTATTCACTGAGCCAAACCGGTTAGGGCTAGGGCAACTTTTTGATCTTTAAATGCTGACAACGAATTTAATATTTAGAGATAGTGTAGGGTCCTTACAAAGCCTGCTGGCCACCAGTTTGGAATTTTTAATATATTTTATTGATTTTTTACAGAGAGGAAGGGAGAGGGATAGAGAGTTAGAAGCATCGATCAGCTGCCTCCTGCACACCCCCTACTGGGGATGTGCCCGCAACCAAGGTACATGCCCATGACTGGAATCAAACCTGGGACCCTTCAGTCCACAGGCCGATGCTCTATCCACTGAGCCAAACTGGTTAGGGCTGGAATTTTTGGTTTAGGGTTTCTTTCAGTGGTAGACACTCATACACAGATACACTCCTGCTTGTGTACATGCAGGACTGTCTCTCTTTAGAGCAGCAGTTCTCAAACTTTGGTCTTAGGGCCCCTTTACACTTTAAAATCACTGAAGACCCCAGTAGAGCTTTTGTGCTTGCAAATTATATCTACTGATACTTGTTGTGTTAGAAGTTTAATACACTTTGAAAATATTTATTAATTTAAAATAGCAATAATAAGTCCATTATAGAGTAAGATCTTTGACATTTTTATTGAAAAGAGTATATTTCAGCCCAGGCCAGGTTGCTAAATCGCTTAGAGCATTGTCCCGTATACCAAAAAGGTTGTGGGTTCAAGTCCCAGTCAGGGCACATACGTAGGTTGCAGGTTCCATCCCTGGTCAGGTGCGTACTTGGAGGGAGGTAACTGATAGATGTTTGACTCTTGCATTGCTGTCTGTCTGTCTATCTCTCCTTCTCTCCCTCTCTCCCTTCCTCTCTCTGTAAAATCAATGAATATATCCTCAAGTGAGGATTTTTAAAAAAGAGTATATTTCAGAACACAAAAAAATTTAGTGAGAGTAAAAGAACAAAAAGATGACCAAAAAAACCCCAAAAATAAAACCACAAAATTTTGTGAGAATAGTGGCATTGTTTTACATGTTTAGAGTCATCTGGATTCTCAGATCTTCTGCATTCAGCCTTTTGAGAGATGTCCTGTAGCTTCTGGAAAGTTTCGCCCAGAATAAAAAGGGCAGATAACATCTGAATATTACTATGGAAATAGTCTTGAGGACCCCACGGCTTCCCCCACATCACCGCACTATGACAACCGCTGTTCTAGATTTTAATGCTTATTTTAACATTTTCTGCCAGGATTCGCTTTTGGAGTGAGACACTTCCGTGTCTCTTTTCTCATTTAGATAATTCTGTGCAAGAATCTTCCCTGGAAGGTACAACGGTGGCCTTCTCATTCCTCCAGGCTTTCTCTTTCCCAATGTAAGCTTTAAATTTGCTCATATAATGAGCTATCAGAGGGAATGAGTCAACGGTCTGGTTGAAAGTACAGTGGGGCCTTGACTTACGAGTTTAATTCGTTCCGTGATGGAGCTCGTAACTCAAATTACTCTTATGTCAAATCTTAAAGTGAACGAGTGAGACACGTGATGCTGGGCTGATGTTGTGACACTTCCGTGTCTCTTTTCTCATTTAGATAATTCTGTGCAAGAATCTTCCCTGGAAGGTACAACGGTGGCCTTCTCATTCCTCCAGGCTTTCTCTTTCCCAATATAAGCTTTAAATTTGCTCTTATAATGAGCTATTAGAGGGAATGAGTCAACGGTCTGGTTGAAAGTACAGATTAGTTACATGGTGGGACGAGGGAGTCTTCCTTGAATGTAAGTGCAAGCTTTGCGCAGTGACAGGTATTGTGGCCAATTAGGTTTACCTGAGTCGAAGTAATTGCTAATTGAAATAAAAAAAGAATGTAGGTGCAGAATTGGGGCAGGAGGCCACTCTCACATGTGGGGTCAGAGCAAAGTGGATTGGTTAAATGTGAGGGCTTTTAAAAAAAATCCTCACCCAAGGAGTGAGGATATTTTTTTAGAGAGTGGAAGGGAGTGGAGAGGGGGAAAGAGAGAGAGAAAGAGAGATGTGAAAGAGACACATCAATTGGTTGCCTCCCGCATGCACCCCGATGGGGGGCACGGATCGAACCTGCAACCCCGGTATGTGCCCTTGCCTGGGAATTGAACCCTGGTCCCTCTGGTGTACAGGCCGGTGCTCTAACCAGTGAGCAGTACTGGCCAGGGCAAGTGTGAGGGCTTTGAAGTCAGACTTCCTGGGGTTGAATCCTAACCTTGATTTTGGGCAAGTTACTGAACTTCTCTGGACATTATCTACCTCATCTGTAACGTAGGGCTAATAATAGATACAGTAGCTCCTTGTGGCTGTGGCTGTCATTAGACAGTGCAGATTTAGAACATTTCCATCAGCACAGAAAATTCTTTGTGCCTCGAGGGGTATTGTGGGAATTACTAGTAAATGAGATGATATATAAGTGATCACATAGTAACTGGCATGTGATAAAACCTCGATAAATGTTTGTTGCCACTGTTATTATTATAATGACTAGAGGCCCAGTGCATGAATTCATGCACCGGTGGGGTTCCTCGGCCTGGCCGGCGATTGGGCCAATCAGGCTGTCTCGCCCAGTCCTGATGGGGCAATCAGGGCAGCTGTGGGGAGGGACCGAAGGAGGTTGGCCAGCTGCAGGAAGTTGGCTGTGGGAGCACACAGACCACCAGGGGGCAGCTCCTGCATTGAGCATCTGCCCCCTGGTGATCAGTGCGCATCATAGCGACCAGTCATTCGGTTGCTTAGGCTTTTATATATATAGATTATGATAGGGACCAAGTGGGATGATAAATGAAGAAAATGGGAACTGGAGGCCATAACCCTCTCCAGAGGGTTATGTCCCTCAGTTCTATCTATTGATAACTGTCAGGCAATAGCAAATCTACTTTTCAAGAGAAGCCAGAAATCTATTTAGTTGAACTCTCTCCATTTAAAAGAAGCGTTGATGACTAATCCATTTTTAAAAACACTGTGTAGGCCAAACAAAACGGGCCTGCAGTTTACAATAATGTTTGGAGTGGGAAAATGAGGAAAGAATTTGCACAGCTGGAGTAAAAGCTGTAAGTGTCCCAGCTTCCAAAAGCTGATGTCACTCAGGCATGTTCATTCTCTCTCTGGTAACATCGATGCGGAGAGAAACAGGAAAAGGTGTCCCTGGGGGGCGAGGGGGGGGGCAGGGAGACTGATAGAACAGCAGGTTGGGGCCTTTCAAAGAGGAAGAGAGGTGACACAATGGAATCCTGTCACTCGTCCATGAGAGGGATGCTGAGAGCCTTTGATCAGAATTCTGTGCCAGGCAAGATGCTGTGAGAAGTAGAGACACATAAGGCAGGTTCACGGCCATCCTAGAGCTGTGGTCTGGGGAAAACAGAGGAACCTGAAAGGTCCTTAACTTCTGAGGCCATTTGAGAAAGTGGTAAGTGGATTATCAGACACGTGCTTATTAGCGCTCCGAGGAGGGCAGAATAACCTCAGACTTCGTTATGTTGGGAGTGTCCTCTATGGCAGAGGGGGCATGTAGGCCTGATTTGGCAGAGTTCGGTAAAGCTGAGGAGAGAGAGCTGGGTCAAGGGAAACCGATCAGGGAACCACACCCAGGTGTCTCCAGGGACCTGGCAGGGCATGTAAATGAGTGAAGTGGGAAGGTGTGAGACAACAGGGAGTGGTGGAGACTGTGGCAAACTGGACAGTCCGTGCTCTGTCTCAAGGCAGCTGCAGTTTCTCGGCTCCAGCCAGTTCTTGCTTTGCAGGAATGTGGACTCAGCCCTGGCCGGTTTGGCTCAGTGGATAGAGCATTGTTTTTTTTAGTTGATTGTTAGAAAGAGAGGAAGGGAGAGAGAGAGAAACATTGATGTGAGGGAATGCGCCACCTGGCCCCCTACAGTGCACTAGATGACACCCAACCAATGGAGCCATACTGGCCAGGGCTGGGAAGCCTCATTTTAATGAGAC